TTGTTATAGCCACTGTGTTGTTGGGTTCCATATGTTCTTATGGAGGATGCATGTGGCCTTCGACATGTTGTTCTTCTCTGCAATTATAGATAATATTCAGATCCTGTCTTTTGAATCTCATTTATTTACACTCCATGCTGTACGAAAACTATTCCAGAAAGTTTCTTCATTGCCTATATCAATTAAAATTGGTTGTTTTTGACCAAGATCTAGTAAGCCATCCATATATAATTGTTTTATATTGGCTATATCTGTTTTCGGATTGTTTGATTTACTCCAAAATTCAATTTCTGATTCTTTTTTTGAAAATGGTGTTATATTTGTACAGCCACATGCTTTTAACATTGAACGCCAAGTATTTTTTTCTTTGTCGGATATTACACAAGTAGAAGAATAGATTTCTTTCATTACTTGTTTGAATTGAATTATTGAACTGACTGATGTTTTTCAATTTAAAAAAAAAGCTTGCCATTGGAGAATATTGCTTTGTGAAATCTTTCTTGGATGAATATGTTGATTAAAAACGCATTCCAAAATAAGTAAATTAGACCAATCGTCACAAGTGCAGGTAATATTAGAAACAATTGTTGTCTGTATTGCTTGTTGAATCATTGAATTTTCTAATCCAAACAAAATATTACCATTATAATTTTTTAGAATTCCTGTTTGTTTCCAAACTGTAATTGGCGATTCATTTTCAAAATGAGCTTTTAGTTTGTTACCAATGTAAAACTCTAATAAAGCTTTATCTTCCAAAACTTTTTGTACAACAAGACATCGATCATTTTCAAATTTAATTAGAAGTGAAGAAGTAAAGCCACTATTTGATGTAGTTCCAATACTTGATATGACAATTAAAAATAAATTGACTTTGATAAAATATGATATAAATTCTATTTCTTTTGAAAGTTTTTGAACAATATCAGATTGGTTGAATTCCATAATTGCTGGTCCAAAATATTCAGTTTTTTCATTGTAAAGTTGATAATAAAGTATATTTAGAGCCGTTGAAGCTGTTTTCATAATTCTTGTAGTTTGATTATTACAAGAACAAATAAAACTTGATTGAAATAAACTTTCTTCTTGTTTAACAACCTCAATAATAAACTGATTATTATTGAACCAACAAGCTACATGCATATAAAAATGGTAAGGAACTGCTCTGATAGTGTTTTTAGCTGTTTGAGGTATCCACCAATTGTGTGCATATGGTCCATAATGTAAAGAAGGCTCAATTGAACCCAGTTCAAGCAAAGTAACTGTATATTGATGTTATTTTTTCATTTTATAGTTTCAAAAAGGTCAGTTTTTGATATTCAAAAACAACAGTTTTATTTAATAAATTTGCATCATTTTTATTTAATAATTAATGATAATTTTATACTCATGACTTGCGATCGACTAATTAAACTATATATGTAATGAAAATAAATTCAATTATTTTTCAAAAATTGTATTATGATAGAATTATTAAGTAACATATAGTAAATAATTGAAATTCATATTTAATTCGAAATCATATTATTGATCAAATTTCCTTTTATAGTAATATAACCACATGTATAGTTTAAACTATATATATTGTTAGAGGGAAAAAATGATCAATGATACACCTTAAAAATTGCGTAATGAAGATTACTTATTACAGAGATTGACTAATTAAATAATTGACCCTTAACTTCACTTGTTCAGCTTGATCAATTATTTCTATTATTTCTACTTATTCTATATGATTGGTTATTTTTATTATTTTTGTTATTTCTATTATTTCTATTATTTCTATTGTTTCATTTTGCTACTAGAAAAAATATATAAATGACATAATAATTAAGTAGTAGAAAAAGAAGATGACTATCAAAAAAAGTTAATAAAAAAGTATTTACTAATAAAAATCACTATACTTATTGCACTGTTTTCAATCAATTATATCTTTTAAATTATTGAAACTCATCAAATTCATACCTTCTTTCTACCTATTATCTCTTCTGTAGAACTTATAACTCTTGTACTTGAGTGTTACAAAGTTAAAATTTTGTAACATGTTGCTTTAAATCCTGATTTGTTACAATATAGTGAAATTTAATTCAATTATTTTTCAAAAATTATATTATAATAGAATTACTAAGTAATATATAGTAAATAATTGAAATTTGTATTTAATTTAGAATTATATTGTTGATTAAATTTTCTTTTATAGTAATATAAATACATATATGGTTTAAACTAGTGATAAAACTTTTATTCTTTAGATAGATCCTCCTAAAAAATATAAAACTATTTTTAAAAATATTATTAGTATTGCTGGAATAATAAAATAAGATATATTAATATTTAGTTATAATTTAATATTATAAATAATGTTTAATATAATTAAAATATTTATATATATCAATAAATAATTATTATTTAATACTTATTCTACTATAAATATATATACTGTATATATATATTTGTTTTTTGAATTAACAAAAAATTATAAAAAGAGTTTTATTATAAAAATTGATTTATTAAATATTAATAAATAAATAAATATCAAAAATAGACTATTTCTAACTTAATTAAATAAAAAAAAAACTCTTTCCCGCAAATCCTAAAATTCTTAAAAATTTCCTTTTTTGGTAAAAACACAAAAAACTCCAA